TGTTCGTATTTTCCACGCTTTTGAAAGACTGAAAATTATTATTTTACAGCAGTACATACTGTAGAGCGTATTACATCAATAGTCAGACTTTCTCTTGATGGTTTTTCTATAAAAAGAAAAAAAAAAACATTATTCAACATTTTTCCTCAGCCTGAATTTCTTCTTATTTTGTTCTTTCAGGCTTTTTGTGCTTATAAACTATGTTTTTATAAAAAAAAAACAAAAATATAGAGATGTGTATAAGAGACAGCACTATTACTGTACAATAAGTGATCCTGAGAAATTGATTATGGTATGTGTTTCAAAGGTAGACAGATCTATTGCTATAAACTTTCATTTTCTTTTCTTATGTAGTATAAATTGTAGGCCTACTACATGTGAATTTATTTTATATTTCTAAAATATCATTACAAATAAAAAGTAATTCAGAATGCATCAATTAATAATGTTAAATTTTTAACAAGGCAAATTCTAAAATTCTAGGTAGCAGTCCAGCAATAAAGACAATTTTTCTCACTTTTTGTAAACGTCAGTCTATACATTAATTGTCTTCTTCATTGTGATATAAATCAATTGTGGCTCTATACTAAACACATATTAATCGACATGGTGTTTGTCTATTTAAAAGTCAAGATATTCATAAAATATTAAAAGTCAACTATTTTCTTAAATGCATATTAATTCAAGAAATTTTAATTTCATGAATAAACTTTGGTTACAGTTATGAGGTACAGTATGTCATCACAAAACCAGCATACTATCTACAGTATTTATTTAAGTATAGCATAAAGAATATTGAAGTATTGTATACTTTAGTACTGAGAAGCCATAATACTTTTACTAATAACTTTGGCAATAATAAAGTCGATTCCGTTAATGACCCATCATTTTAAAGCTTACAGAGTGTGGAGAATTAAAAAGTCAATTTTCATATTTTGGTCACTGATTTTTGGGATAGCAAGCCTCATATTGTAACATACTTTAATTCAACTAAAAAAAAATCAATTCTCATTCTCACAGAGTTTTTAAAATGCTAAATGTATGGCTATTGCTAAACCCCGTACGGTTATGGACATACAGTAGAGTATGGTTATGGACATACATAAATTATAGCGTAGATATTGACTTTAAAACCGGAGATCAAAATTTTTTTTTTTAGATGATTATACTTGGGACCTAAAACCTGCTTTGCAAATATTTTTTGGTATTATACAGAAAAATTTTAATACCTGATATTTAAAAAAAAAATTTTTGGTTATGGACGTACAAAAAAAAAATTAATCTAATTAAAATTGAATTAATGCAAACTTCAACAATTACTTTATCTTTTTTTGTTTGTTATAGTCTGGTAGATATTTTAGTACACTTTGATATAAAATAATAATTTATCATAAATGAAGTGTTTAACTTGTTTTATACAGTTATGTGTCAATTTACGTGTTTTTTGGTAAAATGCATAAATTTGATACTCTTACCTTAAATTCCGATAATTATATATAATATAAAAATTGATGTAAAATTATTTGTACCCGAAATTATATAGTATAAGCTTCAAAATGACACCTGACTTGGGTAGGTGCAATAAATATGAAAATTTGATGAGGAGGTTGACCTTTCGGTGAAACTGCCCATTACTAGTCAAATATATATTTTTAATAAATAAATCATAGATAAATAAATAAATATAAGTGTTATATTTATTTATTTATCTATGATTTATTTATTAAATAAATAAATATAACACTATAATAAGTGTTATATTTATTTATTTAATAAATAAATCATAGATAAATAAATAAATATAACACTTATTATAGTCTGCAGATCGATGACGCACACTGGCACATATACCACAGTGGGGTCCTCTGTCAGTATATTCCATAGAGGTATAATAAGAATACTAGAGCGCTAATAATATGTATACTAAGCCTGAAGGTGGCGCTTTCCTACGGCAGCCATCTTGGATGGTACACATACACAACTCTGCATTGCTCCGCCATCTTGTCAGCACTCTAGTTGTTTAACAGCTCTATGGTATATTCAGAATCTGAACAGTAGCAGGTCAAAACGGCAATAAAACAAAACGGCAATGACAAAATCAGCAATAACCAAAACGGCAATGAACCAAGTACCAAAACAGCAACAGGCCAAAACAGCAATAACTAAACAATGTTTTTGACAATGAAAGCACTATCGGGCGTGCAATTGCCACAGGGCACAGACCGCAGTTCATAATTTTCTGAATCGTTTTGAAATTGTCCAGATAGGCAAATCGAATATTGCCATAGGCTCTTTTTTTCCGGTTTGAAAGATTTAATGTTTAATCGCGGTTTTTTTTTACACATCTATGAAAAATTATTTAGATGCTTCATTTTGTCTATAATTCAAAGTGTTATTTATTATTATTAATAATTTTACATTTTTTACTTTTATGACATAAATAGCCTCATTTTGTCTGTATTTGAAAGTTTTATTTATTTAAATGTTTACTGCTTTAGTATGTTTCCCCCCAATCTTTTTATTATTGAATCTGTATGTTATAAATTTATTATTATTACTTATTATTAATATTATTATTATTATTATTATTATCATCATCATCATTATTATCATTATTCTTATTATTTAATTGTTATTATTATTATTATTCTACAGTATAACAATTTAGCCTCATTTAAATTTTACCAGATTTAATCATTGTACACTTTCATATTTATATTGGTTTATTATTTCGTGTTTTTACTTATGACATAAATTGTTTAGCCTCATTTTGTCTGTATTTTACTTCAGACAGACTTTGTTTATAATTGGTTTTATGTAGGGCCAAATTGAAAATATGTTTTAATTCTTAAAGAAAACTTTCATAGACCATTTGGTTCATTGCCTTGAGAGAGCAGCTTAGCTCAGTCGGCTAATCTGGTGGTAGCTACTGTGTGTGCGCTGAACCGTGGAAACCTCTAGGTCCCCGGTTCAATTCCCATCGCTGCCTCTCCTTGTGTTTCAGCTAGAAGGCTGAAATACAAGTTACAATAGCGCACCGTCTTTGGGATGAGACATTTAAGCCGTTGGTCCTGTGTGCATTTATGGCCCATGTGCATGTTAAAGAACACAGTACACTCTTTGGAAAAGAGTAGGGGATTGTCTCCCGGTGTACTGTCCAATCACCACCAGAAGGACCCCACTGGAAATAAGCCTTCTTCTAGATTTTCGTGGGCTATCCTTGGTGTTTACACTGAATAAATCAAATCCAATCCAATCAATCAATCAATAAAATCTTCTTAGTGATACGGATGCGTAGTGCTTCCATCAAGCAAGCTCATCTCTTTGCTCGATCATACCTAGCTCTCTCACATGCTAGACCTTCAAGTAGTTCTTATCATGCAATCAATTTAATCGCGGGGCATTTTACTAGGGCTATGAGAGTAAGTGGCGGGGATTTAGCTGGGGATGTACGTTAAAATGATGCCCTGCATTGCCGGGAGGTGAACGGGACTTGCATGTAGGCCTAACCGTTTTGGAAATTATATCCCCGGCTAAGTCCCCGGTAGGCCCGAATGGGGGAGAGAGGGGGTGGCCGGGACTACAATTGACAATTGACAAGTGTATAACCAGAAACCTTCACAAGTGACCAATCAAGAAAAGGGGATTATGAATAAATAAATTGAGGAACCATAGGCAGGCCTATATATAGGCAGACCTAGCCTAGGCCTAGTAGTAGTTATGCCTAGTTAGCTAGCTAGGATGGTGTTTAGAGCTGTGTAAAAAATGCAATCTTGTAAAAATCAGGGAGTTTAAAAAAATAAGATAAGTGTTTAAATGTATAGGCCTAGGCCTAGGTATCCCTGTAACCTCCTTCTACTTTACTTGGCTAGCCTAGGCTAGGCCCTAGGCCCTCCCAGGCGCTAGGCCTACCTTTGATTAACCATTCACAATGGTCAGCCTTTTCGTATCCTGCAGGTTGTTGGTCCACTCCTTCGTAAATGAATCCAAAAGTGTCATTAAATATTACTCGTCCTCTTTCCCTACACTTGCTACCAAGTACAGCAGTAAAACTACTCCAAATCAAAATGAGACATACGAGTAGGCCTAGCTTGGATTTGCTACCCAGCAAGTTTGCCAGTTGGGAGGCGGCCCAGCGTTCTATCTCTCCACCACTAGGCCTACGCCTAGGCCTAGGCATGGCTGTGGTGGTGTCTAACCTCCAACTCTTCCACATTTGAAACGAAATGTTAAAATTCACGCAAGATCTTGATTTATTTTGTTTAAAGTCAACTGCTCCATTTTTTTCACCAAAACTAATCATAACGTTTCGATAAACCAAGCTAAATGACAAAGTTTGAGGCGACTACTACTAGTACTAGCCTAGCCTAGGCTAGGCCTACATTTCAGCATGACGTCACTTCTAATGGCTTCCAACAAAGATGCTAGAACTAGAAATACAAGATAGAGTATGGAACGCCGTTACGATACGATACGAGATGTGTATAAGAGACAGTAACAGCTCTATGGTATATTCAGAATCTGAACAGTAGCAGGTCAAAACGGCAATAAAACAAAACGGCAATGACAAAATCAGCAATAACCAAAACGGCAATGAACCAAGTACCAAAACAGCAACAGGCCAAAACAGCAATAACTAAACAATGTTTTTGACAATGAAAGCACTATCGGGCGTGCAATTGCCACAGGGCACAGACCGCAGTTCATAATTTTCTGAATCGTTTTGAAATTGTCCAGATAGGCAAATCGAATATTGCCATAGGCTCTTTTTTTCCGGTTTGAAAGATTTAATGTTTAATCGCGGTTTTTTTTTACACATCTATGACAAATTATTTAGATGCTTCATTTTGTCTATAATTCAAAGTGTTATTTATTATTATTAATAATTTTACATTTTTTACTTTTATGACATAAATAGCCTCATTTTGTCTGTATTTGAAAGTTTTATTTATTTAAATGTTTACTGCTTTAGTATGTTTCCCCCCAATCTTTTTATTATTGAATCTGTATGTTATAAATTTATTATTATTACTTATTATTAATATTATTATTATTATTATTATTATCATCATCATCATTATTATCATTATTCTTATTATTTAATTGTTATTATTATTATTATTCTACAGTATAACAATTTAGCCTCATTTAAATTTTACCAGATTTAATCATTGTACACTTTCATATTTATATTGGTTTATTATTTCGTGTTTTTACTTATGACATAAATTGTTTAGCCTCATTTTGTCTGTATTTTACTTCAGACAGACTTTGTTTATAATTGGTTTTATGTAGGGCCAAATTGAAAATATGTTTTAATTCTTAAAGAAAACTTTCATAGACCATTTGGTTCATTGCCTTGAGAGAGCAGCGCATCAACTCACAAAACCCTGTCTCTTATACACATCTAGATGTGTATAAGAGACATATATATACACACACACAAATATCTCAGGGGAACGAAGAGCGTAATAAAATACATAGTTAATTTACATTTTTAATTAAAATATGTCGGGTCTTCAGTCTTCGTTAATTAAAATGTGACGGATTAATGTTAATTGAAAGAAATTCTAATTCATTTCAATAATTTACGCAAGCACGGAAGGAGTATTTCTAGTTTACTAGCTGCAACCTATAAGCTTTCCAGACTTAACCACAACTCCACTATTTGTGAGCGTTTTAGTCAGTTGAATGCGAGAAACTCCCTGGCAGGTTAGATTTTCGCCTATCTCCTATTAGGTCTTTGTGGTGCAATGATTATTATGCTCAACTTGATGGCGACATGTTGTCATACAACTGAAATAAAGCAACTTTTTGTTGAGTTATTCTTGATACAATTATTATAACATGTTCCTCGAGCAATGTTATTAATATACTGTATATCTATCTATTTATATTGTTTTTGGTGTTACGCAGCAAAATTGATTTGCATACCTTCCTTATTCAGTGGTGTTTTTATCATTTTTTTTATTTCATGTGATCAAAAATATGAACATATTATAAAATTTTGATTCTTAGTTCTAAATTCTAAATCTCAGCACAGTACAGGTATATACAGCCACAGATAACCATATAATATATTTAATATTATTAATACTGTACATTGGCTTCCACAATAATACAGTACAGTATTGGATTATGTCCTACTGCATTAATATGTCAAGCCAAGTATGACAATTGTGTAAACTTATAGTTATGACATCATTTCCACAATGGCAGACAAAGGGTTGCTGACTGGAAATGATTGCGGTTTGTGAATCATGAACCACAAATTCTTTTTAAAGGGAGCTCAAAATACATAATTTTTAATTCAGGTAGAAAAGTGACGTGACTTTTTAATGTCCTGAAATCTAAAGAAACAGTCGTTGCATGGACACATGCAAAGGCCATTACAAAGGTTCATATTGCTTTTCATAGGAACCAAAAATGACCAAACAACCCTGATTTCCAAATTGTCTTGTGCTTGGGTAACAGGCTTTTTTGTATAATGTACAAGAATCTAGCTCAATAGCTTACTAGGAGCTAGCCAGATAATCCATCAAGGTAATAAATGTTTAAAAATAAATAAATAAATAAACAAAATACACTAATAATAATACTAATAACTACAAGTTGAATAAGCTAAATAATTACAGTACACTAATTAAAGTTGAATAAGCTAAATTCTAAACCATTTTTGTAATCCGAAAAAGCAGCATGGATGTTTTACTCGATCACATTCCTAATTCATTTGTCACATGGTTATTTTGTCAGATGATCTGGGGAAACTTTTTGCTTGTTTTCTTCAATCACACTGCTTTGTCGTTAAAAGGATTTATTAAAAAGTTATTTTATCAGGTAAACTCCCTGCTTGTTCTCCTTGATTAACTTCAGTTGTTAATTGATTTATTAAATAGTTATTTTATCAGGTGATAAAAGCCCTTGCTTGTTCTCCTTGATCAGCTTCAGTCGTTGAAGTATTATGTGAAATAGTTATATGATCAGATGGCAATGGGTTACTCTCTGCTTGATTTTCTTGATCAAGTTGCTTTGTTGTTTCAATGTCTTCCAATTCCTTACCTTCTTCTGTATCTGTGAAGTATAATCAAATCATAGTGTACCGAAAATTGTAATTAATTTTTAATTTTATTAAAAAACATTTACAAAATGAAGTTGCACATCAATTAATTAACGTTTTTTTTTTAACTTACTGTTAACTTTATATTAATTTGTTACATATTAGTTTTATTACAAAGATGTACCATAAATCTCACCTTCAATTTGTTGAGAGTGTGTGGGCAAAAGTTGATTTATTTTTTGAACTACTACTGCAATATTCATTACACCGATACCACCCTGAAATACAAAAAAAATATCCACATGATAATAACTTTGGTTAGGTGAGACTTTTTTTATTCCTTGTTTCGCGTACTTATTTTTTTTTTAATTATCGGAGGAGGGCGGAATAAAAATAAAATTTTGTTTTCTTATTTAGCAAATAGTTTTGCCAAAATCATCCAGACAGAGGAGTTTATTGCTGAATGTAAAATAGGATGGTTAAAAGCTTCAACTTTATATAATTAGGAAGAAATATACATATCTTATCTATGGCGATTTCAAGGCAGCAGAGGGTGCAATAAAAATTAAGAAAAAAAATTATTTTTTCTGAAATTTCCACTTTTTTTCGTGTCAGCGGGTGCGCTAATTGGCCAAAAATAAAATTTTATTTTTATTTGAAATCATCAATATTTGCAGTCGGCGGGTTCGCTAAACAAGGTATAAAAAGTCTCGCCTTATGAAAATTTTTTATCATTAGTAAGCTCTCCACAATTTGTATTCATTTTTATCTGTTGAAGGCAGGATGGTTTGATATAGTGTTTTTATTGACATGTCCTTCTTAATCTTAATTTATTGGTCTTCCTATAGATCATTTTACTTTCTTTGGTTAATTCCTTTACTGTTTGATAGTGTTTTTGATAATCTAATATCTAATCTAATCTGGTCACTTATATAACACATTTCTTTACAGATACGAAGCACTATAAGTTTTTCCTTGGTCATTGGGTTGACATGCTAAAGTGTTGCTGCCATCTTAGCACAGGAGCAGGCAACCTTACCAGGTACCCATTTATACTGCTGGGTGGAGAAAAGCAACATAGTTAAAGTGCCTTGCTCAATGACTCAGGCGAAATACACAGCAAGGGATTGAAACCCGACCTCGAGGTTGGGAAACCAAACTGTTCCCGCTGCACCAAACTGCTTTCACAATTATACGTCCTCCCACATTAATCTACTCTTAATATTTATATTCTTCCATAACATTTCCTATATAGCTATAACCTTCTTCAAATGTTTGTTCAAGACCCAGAATTCACTGTATAAAATATACTAGCTACTTAAGCGTTTAACAACCGGCACTTAATTTTGACAGACATATTCTTGTTTTCATTGCAAACCACATTAATTTTCATTTTTAATTATGATTAGTGACATATTAAATAATGACAATAAGGTCCGCCATGATACTGACCATCTTAGATAGATCGTGAACTGTTACACCAAGTGTTTGAGCAATGCTACTTGCAGGAAACAATAACTGCAGACAGCGGTTTAAGAAAGGAACCATCTCCTCAGATGCTATCCGACACAACTTCAAGAAAAGAACCATTTGCTGATCATTAAATGTTGTCTCTTCTGCTCTACAGTATAAAAAAATGTTATCAATTAATGACAGTAATCACAAAATGGGAATCATTACTACAGCAGTATTTTGATATCTTAGACCTGATAAAGGAAATGGTGTTGCGATAATGAAGAAATCTGATTATATTACATCTATGACCAGCTTGTTCTCTGATCCAACTAAATTTAAGAAACTGTCTACCTGTTCATTAACCACACAGCTTAACTCTTTACAATCCTACCTTCAAACACTGTTTAATAGAAAAGAACTAACTGAGGCTGAATACAAAGAAATTCGTCCAGTATCAACTATGCCTGCCAGAGCTCATGGTCTACCTAAATTACATAAGGATTTTGATAATATTCCACCCTCGGGATTCAATATTTCAACATTAATTACGCCGTCATCCCCTGATGATGACATAATTAATGTTGAAATATTGAATACCGACACGATGGCATGCATTTCGATACTTGGAGTATGTAGTATACTATCTTATTTGATAAGTAAAGTGTTTGTTTTGATGAAGTACTGTACAGTATGCAGTATGAGCTACAGGGTAGTAAGGCTGGAAAAGCCTTGGACTAGGCTAGGGGGCCAAGGCCTAGCCTATTTTGGTGCATGGTATGCGATGCGAATCCAAAATTGTTGTATTATTTGTGTATTTTCTACTTTTATGTGTAAACACATTTTTGGTTTAAAAAGAAAAAAGTTTCCCTACCGACCTACACATTTTTTGGATTTTCCCAAAACGTGGCCAACACAATTTTTTTTTTTTTTGGCCTTATCAAGTAAGTTATTTTTTAGCACTCACCTAAAATAGGCCACAATTGTCTCCATCACACATTCAAGTGACAACTGCAGCTGTCTAGCAACATCAGGGGCTAGTGCTATTGGTGAACAATGTCGAAGGTCGTTGAAGGCTGAAAGAATGTTGTTGGTGTACACAGCTAGAGGAGGATACTCTAAAAGATTTGCTGGGGGTGTCATGTTTTTATCACCCTAGGAAGACATTCAAACATTAGAGATTTGTAACATATCACAAACATTCAAATAATTTTAATAATCACCCCATTTTTATAAAGTATATATAACTATTTTATTACAAAGACATTTAAACTATAGGTTTCTTAGTCAGCCAATTGGTTTAATCAGGCTCAACAATGAATTTAACCTGGTCATTCTAAAAATAAGTACACTGGCTATTGCCAATGTCAAGGTAGCTTAACTTCATTGTGTTTATTGTTGTTAAATTTACATTCTTGTAACGTCATTCACAATTTTAACATACAAATATGCATTCTAACATCGGTAAGCGTCCACCAGCATGTTTCATCATGAATAGGTACTATTATATTTTGTATATAATTAAATTAAAATAAGCAAAACATGAGTTTTGAAAAAGATAAATGAATTAAAATGTCTAATGGGTGCTCAGGCACTCCGAACACCCCTGGGCACTGTATATATCTTAAATATGTTTGCATGTTTAAATATTATTACTAAATAAAAATGGAACAAACCTGCAATGTGACAGAAGATAATGTAGTTGCTGAGATTAAGGCTGGACTTGCTATCAGAGTGTATGACTGCATTACATCACAAAACCTAAAGATAGAGCAGTTGCTATGATTAAGGCTGGACTTGTTATCAGAGAGCACCAAATCACAAAAACCTAAAGATAAATTAGTTGCTAAGATTAAGGCTGTATTTGGAATCAGAGAGTATCAAATTCGAAAACCTAAGGATAAAGCAGTTGCTAAGATTAAGGCTGGACTTGCTATCAGAAAGCATCAACTCACAAAACCTAACCACAAATATTACATCTTACACCATAGAACATATACTACTAGATAGTGTGACACTTACCTCTCTGTTGCTTCTTGTGCTGCATTGCAAAATGTACGCAAAGCTGCTCTTTGAAAAAGAGGCGAGAGTAGACCACGAAAATCTGCACCAACACGACTGAAAGAAAGTCCGAAGTACATGCACTGTCCTAATAGTGAATCCAAACGATTGCCAACACCTTGATTCAGATCAAATTCCAACATTTGTAAAAAGTTAGAAACCTGAAAATAATCATAAACACAAATATTATAATTGCACTATTAAGTCTATTGATTTTGCAAACCACCACCAGGCAGTTACTATGTCATGTAAATGATACTGATACAATGGTATTTTCCCTCTTCAAACAATTATGCCTGCGTGGTTATGTCATCTGTACAACATGGAAAAGGGATTTAAAATAACCGGCTAAAAGGCAGAAAATATGTTTTAGAATGTCTGCATGCAAGGTTTTCAAGCATTTAACAACAGTCATATGTCTCCAAACACAATGAAGGTGCATCAGAATGCTTGGCAATGTTAGAATAGTAGAAATGATTTGAGAAAAAGAGAAATACAAGTCTGGATAGTTATAAAGGTTGAGCTATGTGAATATTTCAGGGACATAGATAAAGTTGTGAAGAGGTAAAGTGAAGCAAACTATTAAGAGGATGACATAACTTGTTTGTATTGCTCAGGAAGGTGTGGTATAATGGTGTGGTCAAATGCAACCCGTCAACACGTATATGGCAAATGTAGGCCCAGGTTAGGCCTTTTTCCAAATTTGTTTCATTTTGCAGGTTGATTCAAATGTTTTCAAATGAAGTTAAAGCAATTAGTATAGTCACTTTCCATAGTCATATAATTTGCAGACAAATGAGAAATTAGTGCATTTAAAAATTCTTGCACAAAATTGCTACTTTGTGCATTAATTTCCTACTGTGTATGAAAAGCGACTATCGGAGACTATACTATTTGTACTTGCATCATTTTTGTATTGTTACCATAGAAAAAGAAATTATTCCCACACTGTTGCATTAAAAGTGACATATTACTTTTATTGCAATACACAGTATATTTACCTTGTGCACAACCCATCCATGAAAAATACTACTCTCATTTGTAGAAGATTCTTGGCTGGAGGATAATATGGGATCATCATCAGAAAAAATGGCTCGATATTGTGTAATAATATCAAAAAGATGCACTCTGCTAAGTTCAATTATTTTCGTAATGTGGATATAAGCTGTGAAAAAAAAAAAACAAACTCTGAATTTTCACAATTTGTTTTAAAATTAATAATTTCCAATTATCACTAATACTAGTACTGTATCGTAATAGTCATTGTCATCGCTGCCACCAATGATGCCATGCCAGTATTCAATAATTTCCAGTCCACAACTGATGCTACTGCTATTAACTTTGTCACCATTTTGTCAATTTTTCACTGAATAACAGTCCATTGTAGCAAATAAATATTTAATAGACTTGACACCTACACACAAACACATAAGAGTGAGGAGCAGCACAATCACACGTTTTATGGTAATAACTCAGAGTCTGCTGCACCTACTCACAAAGACATAATAAGAGTGAAGAGCAGCCTAATAAAACATTTTACTCTAATAACTCAAAGTCTGTAGCACCTCACAAACACACTGGTTTTTCTTTCTGTACCACTCAGCAATAAAATACTTACCATCATCTGTTGAAATAGAACTGAGTATTCCCTGAAACCAAGCATCTCTTGCTTGTAGGAACTTTATCCGCAACTCTGATTCAGAGAACACATCCATTCGACGTAAGTAGCCAATGACCCTAAGGCATGCTGGTAGTTGAACACTTGTCCTTAGCTGTTGGATTAACTGATTCAACATAAGCTGCATGGAATTTTTTACTTTATTTACAATGTCCTGAAATAAAAAACAAATCATATTGATTAAATGTATCATGCCCTATAGAAGTCCCCAACCATTGCCATCAATTAGTCATCACTATATAATACTGTACTTATTCATTATCAAATGTTTTTATTTATTATCAATTAGGTTTGTTTTACTATATATAATTCAATTAGGTACTTTCACACTTTTCACTATACAGTAATATACTTATTTATCATTCAATTTGGTGTCACTATACTCTACTGTACTTATTCATTATTAATTAGGTATTATCATTATTCAGTACTATACTTATTATCCAATTAGGTCTCATTATTCAGTATTATACTTATTTCTATTAATTCAAATACTATGAATTAATTACAATGGATTTGAATGAGTTTTGTTTCTGAAATATAATTTTGTTTCTGAAATGCCATGTTTTTGAGATGTGAGCCATATTTAGGTAAAAATCTGCAGGTCTGCATTACTTCAACTTTATTCCATGTTTTATATGTGGATGCGCAACGATCATCTTACAGAATACTTTATTTTTGCTTATCAAAAGTGAACAATGGAATTAATTTATGTATTACTATTATTGCCACACAGCCTGACGAAGTCATGTTGATAACATCGACAAAAGCTCGCAGTAAGTTAACATCCATTGTGTTTGGTTTATTAACGATCAAAACAGTTCTACAATAGTATTATTATTATTGTTAGTATTATTATTATCATTAGTATTAATATTATTATTATTAGCAGAAGTAGTAGTACTATTATTCACAGACTGCTATTAATTTTCAATATTTAGTATTTGCAGCACTTTGTTAAATTTTATGGTAAAGAAATACCAACTGCAGTACCTGAATGACAGCGATGGATGAGTGCTTTTTGTCAAGACGTTTTACATAAGCTGATAGTTCAAGAGCTTCCTCATAGTAACTATTTCTGACACATGTATCCATCAATTGTGGAATTTCCAAGACTTCAAGTAACTGTGTGTGTTTATTTAATGTCAGTGTATTCAACCTCCGACTAAACGAAAAATAAAATAATGATTCAATTCAATTCAATTCAAATTTATTTGAGCATAATTCAACACATTACAAAACAAAGAACAATAAAAAGATAATTTAGTAAAACATTTACAGCTCAGGATAACCCAAAAAAACCGAATTGGTTTATTTCCGTTGGGGTCCCAGACAATACAATATGTACTGTGTATTGCATGTGTACTGGTGCATAGTGTTTGTATTCTGTGAATAGTGCTGCATGGTGCATCTTGATTTTTTGCATAGTGTCACATGGTGTATGTTTATCATGTGTGTAGTATATATGGTGCATAATGCCACATGGTGCAAGTGTATCATGTGTAGTACTTATTGTGTATGTAGTGCCACATGATGCATGTTTATCATGTGTAGTAATTATTGTGTATGTAGTGCCACACTGTGCATGTTTATCATGTGTGTAGTATGTACTGTGTGCATAGTGGCACATGGTGCATGTTTATCATGTGTAGTACTTACTGTGTATGTAGTGCCACATGGTGCATGTTTATCATGCGTAGTAATTATTGTGTATGTAGTGTTAGACTGTGCATGTTTATCATGTGTGTAGTATGTATGGTGCATAGTACTAGTGGCACATGGTGCATGTTTATCATGTGTAGTAATTATTGTGTATGTAGTGCAACATGATGCATGTTTATCATGTGTGTAGCATGTAATGCGTGCACAGTGCCACATGGTGCATGTTTATCATGTGTATTACTTATTGTGTATGTAGTGCCACATGGTGCATGTTTATCATGTGTAGTAATTATTGTGTATGTAGTGCCACACTGTGCATGTTTATCATATGTGTAGTAATGTATGGTGCATAGTACTAGTGGCACATGGTGCATGTTTATCATGTGTGTAGCATGTAATGCGTGCACAGTGCCACATGGTGCATGTTTATCATGTGTAGCACTTATTGTGCATGAAGTGCCACATGGTGCATGTTTGTCATGTGTGTAGCATGTAATGCGTGCACAGTGCCACATGGTGCATGTTTATCATGTGTAGCACTTATTATGCATGAAGTGCCACATGGTGTATGTTTGTCATGTGTGTAGCATGTAATGCGTGCACAGTGCCACATGGTGCATGTTTATCATGTGTAGCACTTATTGTGTATGAAGTGCCACATGGTGCATGTTTGTCATGTGTGTAGCATGTAATGCGTGCACAGTGCCACATGGTGCATGTTTATCATGTGTAGTAATTATTGTGTATGAAGTGCCACATGGTGCATGTTTGTCATGTGTGTAGCATGTAATGCGTGCACAGTGCCACATGGTGCATGTTTATCATGTGTAGCACTTATTGTGCATGAAGTGCCACATGGTGCATGTTTGTCATGTGTGTAGCATGTAATGCGTGCACAGTGCCACATGGTGCATGTTTATCATGTGTAGTAATTATTGTGTATGTAGTGCCACATGGTGCATGTTTGTCATGTGTGTAGCATGTAATGCGTGCACAGTGCCACATGGTGCATGTTTATCGTGTGTAGTTATTGTGTACGTGGTGCCATAATGTGTATGTTTATCATGTGTGTAGTATGTACTGTGTGGATAGTGCCACATGGTGCATGTTTATCATGTGCAGTACTTATTGCGCATGTAGTGCAACATGGTGCATGTTTATCATGTGTGTAGCATGTAATGCATGCATAGTGCCACATGGTGCTTGTTTATTCATGTGTAGTACTTATTGGGTACGTTAGAGGTGTGCAGTAAAATGGGTCAGAAGGTCAAAATGAATTTTTTATTCAACTCTGAGGGCTGCACCCAAACTTGTTGTGCACTTCCAAAAAACCTTCATACAATGTTTTATGGCAAAGTTATGCTCAGTTTTACTAATACTTTTTACAGATGATCGGTGCCGGGCCGCAAAAAACAATGTGTTTTCTAGCCAAAGATGGTTGGCGCCCACACTCATAGGGTTTGTAATTCATTCTCGCGGTCCGCATGTGGTCCGTTGGCCGCACATTGCCCACCTGTGGTATATGTAGTGCCACATGGGGCATTGTTATCATGTGTGTAGTAGGTATTGTGTGCATAGTGCCACATGGTACATGTTTTACATGTGTGTAGTATGCATTTTGTACATAGTAACTTCATGAAATCATCTGAAATTAATGTCATTAACTTGAAAGTAGTTTCATTATTTAATTTGACATTAATGTTCTGAATTTATTAACTTACCTGACATTAATCTCATTGGCATTCTTCATAAAGATTTGACATTTATCACTGAATTCAGGAAGTTTGTTCAACAGGTTGTTCACATGCTGCTCAACCAGATTAAACTGTTAAAACAAAAACAAAAAATAGTTGCACAATCATGATTATTAGATGCTTGGCATCTGTAAAAGAAGCATGATGACAATTTTGGACATATAAAAAAGAAATTTGAGATTTGGCACAAACTTAAGTGAAATTTTGTGGGCAATAAACAAGAGCCATGTTTTTCGGAAAATATGATTTCAATGTTGCAGTAATTAGGCGAGACTTTTTTTATACCTTGTTTAGCTAACCCACTACCCGCCAATAATGATGATTTTGAACAAAAACAAAATTCTATTTTTGGTCAATTAGCGCACCCGGCACCACGGAAAAATGGAAATTTCAGAAAAAAATAGAAGGTTTTCTTTAATTTTATTATGCCCGCTGCTGCCTTGAAATCTTCAAAAATAAGATATGTACATTTTTTCCTAATTATATAAACTTAAAGCATTAACCATCCTATTACACTGTTTGTATTCAACAATAACATTTTATTTTAATTTTCTCCTCCATCTGGATGTTTTTGGCAAAACTTTTTTTCCTTTTTTCTCCATCCTCCTCTGACGATCTTTAAAAAAATAAGTTCACAAAACAAGGTATAAAAAAACTCTCACCATATGAGAGTGTAGCTTCAGTTAAATTAATGTTGGTTTATATTTGGTGATGCCACTTGTAATTTATTTCAGGTAGTTGATGATGTCATCAGTAGTTTATGTTGCCAATGTAGTTAACAAAATTAATGGTAGTTGATGATGTCATAAGTAGATTATGTTGTCACTGGTAGTTGATGATGTCATAGTAATTATGTCACCAGTAGTTAACAGAGTCACAAGTAGTTGATAATGTCATCAGTACTTTATATTGTCACAAGTAGTTTATCGTGATGTAATTATTAGTTCATAATATGCACAATTATTTTCAGCTTACATCTTCTACAATTTCTTTGGAGCAATCAGCTGTTTCAATAAATGTTTTGTAATTGTGGAATGCCAGTTCTTGTGTCTGTTCCAGAATTTGTGCTCTTTCTTCTGCTAGACGCTCTGGTTCATGACCTGTTCGAGTAAAATGAAAGATGCATGTGATACAGTTGCAGGTTTAATAGTAGCTTGTGGCATAGCCCAGGAGCAGCATGATTGTAAAGCACTCAATTATCTTTGCAATTGTCTTTAAAAAAAATGAGCAAAATTGGTATCAGACAAGGTGATCCACAAATGGTATGTTGTTTGATCCTTGTCCACACCTTCAATTTTATAAAAATAGTTTTTATTACAAAATCATGTCTTTCATATTCATTATCTTTCCTTGATCTTAACATTTCATGGAATTTTTGAAGTCCAAACTGATATCCCTTTAAAAAAAAAAACATCTTTTTATCGTTTTAAAATTTATAAAAAAAATTAAAAAAAAAATTAATTGGTGTTTCCTTTTTTTAAATAAACTTTGTTTTTCTTGCAATTTTAATAAGGAATATTTTCTTATATTTCATTGCATTGTAGTCAAGAGGGCCTCTTCAAGTCAGCAATGCTGTAAGAGCCACCCTCTCAAACGACTGTTGAATAAATAAATAAATGTTGATGTCTGCAGCAACAAGAGTAGCCTGAGATATACACAGCAGCCTGTGGTGCCACCAAAGTCGCACCTAAAAACTTTGCAATTCTACAACTCGCACTATTCTATGCTACACAGTTGATTAAAGTTGGTTTTTTTTCCCCTTGATTTGGTAATTTATTTTTCTCTAGATGCTGTTTTGTAGTTATATCTCACTTAAATTTATTTTTATAAATGCTTTTAATAAAGAAAGTTAGCATTCTTACATAATTTGTCAACACCAAATGAGCTAAGTTCTGTTAGATACTGCACAAAATCTGGATTTTCTCTCCATATTTCTGAAATGAAAATTGCACATAAAAAATGATCAATAACATCACATTGCGATACTTTAGGATAATTATGTTGGGGACAAAGGTAATTCACCATAATTATCATTTTGCCTAGAAATTCGTCCGCGCATTTTGGAGAATAAGGGCCGATTTCCAAATTAGGCTTTGAGGTTGACCAAATCTCAATATATTACCAATGCAATTATGCAGCAATTACGATTCTGCGCACCTATTTTTCTAGCGATTTGCTGCGCAAATTTGAGCTGATTTTTGAGATACTGTATCCTCCGCGCAAATAAAAACCATTAGTACGGTAATATGACCTAGGCCTAGGTCCTAGGGTGACCGGTCCTCGGAGGCCTCTACTAGGCAGGTTGGCCTAAATAAAAGTAATATTTTTATAGTGCTTCATCATCATGATTAATTAAAGGCTTAGCCAACTTTACCACAAATTCATGTGAGAAAAATACAATTTAAAAAGCCTCCAACCAAAACATCCAACCACTCGTCACACCCCCGTTCCCCACCCCCTGAAACATCCCGTGTGTAATATTAAATGATACACAGAGGCTATAGTTAGAACTCAACTAATAACATGTTAATACAACATGCTGTCTCTTATACACATCTAGATGTGTATAAGGGACCTACTCTAGCCTGGCCCAGTCCTGGAGCCTAGCTAGGTCTCGCCTAGGATAGGTCCTATAGTCTAGTGAGGAGCTAGATTCTAGGCCAGCCTAGGCCTAGGTCTGTACAGTACATTATTAGAGTTAGAGTAGGCCTACCTAACGAATTACCTAGGCTAGGCTAGGCCTAGGTCCCTACCTACCTAGCTAGGCCCTATCTAGGCCACCATCATTGCCAAGACGAAGTTACGGCCTAAGGAAGAAAAGCATTGCAATTCCGGAAAATTAACTTCAAACATAAGTTAATCTTTTCATAACAAAAAAACTAAAAATTGATGCAAATAAGCAGCAGGTAATTTTACCAGGAAAAGAATCCTTGAAGATAGATGATAAAATTGTCCCGTCTTCCACGTCAAGGGCCATTTTATAAACAAAGTGACTGTTTGCACGATAACCGTCTGAATAAGATACAATAGGCTTAGCCAATCAGCATCGAAAGGTTGTAATAACACGGGCAGTAGTACAAATAAAGCGGTATTCGCACGCTACCGTGCTAATAGTCTCCCTTTTATAACAAAATATATGGAACGCCCACAATGCCATCAATATTACTAATTAAATTTGCAATTTTGTAACTTCTATCATTCAAATATATTTTCGGATGAACAAAAAGATCACAAACATACAATGTGGACACCAGCCACCCTAGGATTGTCAAAAATTTAAAAGAAAATATCAAGTGACTCTACAAACATAATCACACACAACAAAACAATGAAACACTATACAAAATAATAAAAGAATAAATCAAACTGTCATCTCAAGATGCAACCACATTTGCTATTGAAGAAACTTATGCTTTGTTAGGAAATAAACGCTAACAAATTTCAGTATTTTCATCAAGAAATTACCAAGGTTGATCTAACATTATCTTGAAGAAAATTGAAAATTATGCTAAAGTTTCTGGACAGTTTATACAATTCCCAATTTCGGTCAATGTTTTTACAAATAGAAAATATAGCATGAAATAACAAAACACAAAATAATGAAACATATCTTATTGTCTATATATTTACCCTATATAGGAACAATATGTTATAATCGTGTGTGAAGCATAGCCCTTCAACGAAAAGTTTCTTTAATTCAGTTGTATTCCAACCTGCAACCTCTCACTATCAGGAGAGTGTCACATCTATTATACCACTGTCCCCTTTTTGGAAAGTCAAAAAGAAAAAAAAAGAAAAGAAAAAAGAAATTATTAATCGCCAAAACGCCTCAGAGGTTATTTTCTGGCGTCTAGATAACAAATATTTCCCAGGGCCATGCCCCTAAGGCTAGTGTTTTTTTCTCGATGCCCCCACCCCCACACTTTTTGGATACAGTATCTCCGGATCCGCCATTGTAAGTTTAGGAGTAGTACCTCCATTGAGTAAATGTCTTCCATTACAGAATTTGCTCAAAGTGTGTTCTAAGCATAACTAGCAATAAACATGTGGTCGCCATGCAACAACGCCTGTTGTGAACCCGAGTAAAAGTTATGGGCAATGACGTAGCCGGCTATTGGAAGAGTTGGGACAGACCCACACAATTTTTCTATTGGCTCCACAAAGAATGGGTCCACATTTTTAAAATAGGTCCAGATTTCTCATATTTTTTTTTTTATAATGGGTTAACATGGGGAAAGAACTGCCTACATGACTAGCGGTGAAGTTGGTGGGTATTTAATTATATAACTATATATATAATTAAATATATAAGTAAATCATTTTTGCTGTATAATGCTTTATTCAGAAACGAATACAAAACCAGTATAACTCCATCTCGCCGTCTCCGATCATCCTCTCAAATCAAATTTCTGTCTCCAAATGCCGTACTAAAACCTACGGTCAATGTTCTTTTACTTTTGCTTCTACCTATTTCTGGAACCAACTTCCAAATTACATAACTTCTTCCAACTCTATTTGCCACTCTAAGTCACAGCTTAAGACCTATTTGTTTTCTGGTGGCTTTTCACATGAGTTGCGCCTTTGATCTTGTTTGGAATTGGCGCCAAATAAATTCATTATTATTATTATTATTATTATTATTATTATTATTATTATTATTATTATTATTATTATTATTATTATTATTATTATTATTATTATTATTATTANTTATTATTATTATTATTATTATTATTATTATTATTATTATTATTATTATTATTATTATTATTATAACCATACATACAGATAAGATATAAAAGAAAATAGCTATAAATGAAACTACTCCGGACAAATACCACACCATCAACAAGATTGAAGCTTCTGTCGGTTTTTTTGTAAGTATAACTCAACGATCTCTACAAAATTCAGCCGACAATGATGTGGGATAGACATTTTGGTTTCACAAATATCTGTGGTTGTATTATAATTATTGATTATTGATTGACAAACTTATCTTCCATTGTGATTTCAGACTTTTCGAACGAACGAAAGAGCGATTGATTCCGTGTGTAATCCTAATAGACAGGTTTGGCCTTTGACCTTTTCTTGTGCATGTGGGTGTGTGCAGACCAGGTTTGCCAGCACCCAAACATTCCACAAGTTGTTCACTCCGGAGCGAGCGGCTCTAGCGCCACCCAGTTTACACTGGGTATGTATAAGGTGGAACCAATGGTATGTTTTGTTTTGTAAAGACTCTGAGGCCTAATGTACAAAAATTAAAACGTGTCCACTTAAAGGATACAGAGGACATTCTGGTCTGGTCCTTTCCTTTGAGTAGATGTCACCTATGATGATGAGCCTTAAGGAGTATAATGTTGTGGGAATGAGTCCGACTAGCATAATTGAGATTTATAAGTAACGCACTTACATTTATATGTTCTTCTCTCTCTCTCTCACACAACACATCCACACACACATATATATATATATATATATATATATATACTGTATAGTGGCGCTGCAGTTTGACGAGAGGTATGGTTCCTCTTTAATGTGCTGAAGATCCCGGTTGAAACGCTTGACCCTCGAAATTAGAGTTAGGATGCATAAAGGAACGCGTTTGTATCCATATGTTCCGGGTTACGTCATGTTGTAGTTAAAATTTGGTGGATTGAGACTTCCGCGGGAACTCTGGGGCCCAGCACATGTTTGCGATTTCAAGTTGAATAAGGACACATAAAGAATTACTATTATTACATGTATAAAGTCAGTTGTATCAGAGGAGGTATCTGGATGTTAGGTCTCTGTGGTCTGTGGTATAGATAACGAGGGTTTGCAGCCTCAAATTTTACCAGAAACATTTTTTTTATACAACTGAAAAATGAACTTTTCGTTGAAGAGCAATCCTTTATACTATATAACATCAGATGTTCCTATATTCCAGTACACAC